CGACTCCAATTTCCGCTCAAAGCCTTCAGAAGACCGTTTGCACCTAGCACGATGACCGTCTGTAAACTCCAAGTCAACTGGATTCCCACCAGGAGACAGACCAGTTGCTGTGACGTACCTAAGGTTATGTCCATTAGTACATCTATAACAGTTAAACATTGACTCATAGAGGGCAACCATGGCGTACACTACTAGTTGCCGTTAATTCAGATAACTCTACATAAGCCCTTACATGGCTACGTGAATCCGAAGCGCTCTGGTCAGCATTATATACTTGTTCTGTACTCTCTTCACAACCAAACACCGACACAACACTTCATGGTTGCCACTTTCAGGTCAAGAAATGTGGTGTCAGCTATCGGCTTTTAAGTCTGTGATCCGATACCTGGCCGAGGGTGAAGATTTGACCGATGCAAACTCACCCAAGTTTGAAAGCAACCTGATTTCCTCGAGGTCACTTTGCACGAGCTCCAGTTACGTGTACAGTGAGTATGGACTCCAGCATCTTGGATACGAAGTTAAATAAACTCATCTACCTATTGATATCATACAAAGACTTCTCTCGTTTTAGTTAGACGGAGCGCAAAATGATTGGTAGAATTTGATGAAAACTTACAATTAGACACTGTGAAGTTGGTCGAACTCCAATGAACAATCAATACAGATTTCTCGTCTTTTCACAAACTGGAATAATCAGCGAAGTAGATTGGTTTGATGGGATTACCTCTGATTTCATAACGCGACGTAGTACCTCCCGTTACTGAGTTCAGAAGTGTACTCCCGTCTTCCTGAGGAAATAAGGGTGGCAAACCCTAAGGTCCAGCTGCTTTTAATGTTTTAAACAGCCTTCTAAACTTACAGGACAGTTGGGAGGGCGATATCTATGTCCCATTGAGGTTCAGATTGGATGCTGTGGTTGAGATGAACTGTTCTTCAGAGTGTTCTGTCAAACGTTCTAGACGCCTGTTCTGAGTTTATTACGGAACCATACTCTACGGCAGTGGTCTCACTCACCATCGTCTTCTTCCCATTATCCCTAGTGAGCTTAAATAATACTCGAGTATAACCTGATGGTCATGCCTTCACCATCTTGTTCGCCGTCCACCACTACTCACGATCATTCCGAAGACTTCCAAACAATCTACGTATTACGTTGCTTTTGCTTCTCACTGTGGTGAGAGCCAACTGGAACGAATCTCCTAGCATCAGTCAGTCCGGATGTCGTTGCGCAAATCCACTGGCTTCCGCTAGGCTGTGGATAGAGGTTAGAAAACTGTCTTTACTGTTGTTTGCGCAGCAGACTGGATATCACATCATGTTTCATCAGCACGCGAGTTGCAGATATGTTCAGATAAATCCTTGGCTAAGCGCTTCTTAAGTACACACTTGATATTTTCGTCATGCAGCCGAGCATACAGAAGTGTAACTGCTGTTTTTTCTTTGAATTCATTGAAATGAGGGCATGTACGCTTGCCGAATCATGATCAGTCTCAGTACGTGCTTTGAAACTAACGAAAATTATTTAAAAACCCTTATTAACAATGGCTTTATAGTGATGAAGTTGGTGCTCACAGTTGGTCTGAAGTTAACTGAAGCCAAGTGAAGCAACCTCCTTCCTCAAGGTTCAAGCTAGTGCTGACCAGAAAAGTGAATGACAAAACACGAATTTTAAGAAACAATAACGGTTGTCGGTTCGTTGGAATGAAATGCCGTAGATACCTTTTAGATTGGCACAGCTTTCCTACCCGAGCGTTAAGCTCACATGATAGCACGGTAATTCTTGAAACGTTTGCCCTATGTTGCGAAATTGACAGCTTTCGATAACATTCATTTGTAGCATCAGCCTAACTGCAATCGGTGGATTCCAGGATATCGACTACGAATAGGCATAGAGTATCACGATGTTTTCAATGCCTTGCACATCCATTCAGTCGGACAGCTAATAGACGGCTGGGGACTGCAATCCAATTGAGAAGTGCGCATTCTGCATTCTGCTCTAAAACCTAATGCTATACTTACACCAGCAAGTCCATGGGAAACAGCCACCGAATCTTCGGACACTGGAAAATCAATTTGGCTGTTTAACTACACGAGCCTGACGAAGTCAAGAGAACAACACTTGCATTTTGAATGAATGCATCAACGACACAGAACATAGTCATCACCTGAAATTTCAGTTTTGCCAAGTGAGTTCTGTTGCTGAATTCCACATAAAATTCAGACTCTGGAAGCATCAATATGAAATTCGAGGCCTGACTTGGGGGAAATAGAGGTGACCTCTAGCTGGCTTGGATAGCTGGCACTGGTCATAGGGTAAAAACTTGCGGAAAACACAGGGGGTATAGTGTTGGGAACAGATACAATAAAGGAAAGAACAAGGTGAAGCAACGGTACGGTTACTTGGGATTTTATACTGATGTAGGCGTGTAGTTAGTTGGTACTTCCCGGATTCTTACAGTGTGAACGTGGATACATTCCTAAGGTATTTGAAAGGGAAAGTGGATTAAGTTCACGTGACAGCTCAGTCCAAGAGTCATCTGCTTGAAGCCAACTACATACGACTTTTCCAGATGTTTTGGATTTGTAATTCGTTTTTACTTAAAGAAAAACGAATACTTCCTGTAGCCCGAGTCTGTAGGATAGGAAAGAATATGCTACTTTCAGTTGATCGATCCATGTTCTTGCTGTCAGTTCAATATCACCGCCCGTCACAACTACCGACTGAATGGTTTAGTGAGGTCATTGAAGTAGCTCGCCGCTCGACTGGTGCCGAGAAGACGACCTAATTTGACTATTTAGAAGTAACAGTAGTAACAAGATTTCCGTAGGTAAAACTGGAGAAGGATCATTGCCAGATATCCTTGTATATATATATATATATATATATATATATATATATATATATATATATATATATATATATATATATATATATATATATATATATATATATATATATATATATATATATACCATACGGTGTGCTAAGACATGCCGGTGAAGTCCTTGTACCAAAAGGAAATTCGATGGATAATTTAGAGAAGTTCGTCAGGTTCCAGTTCATTGATTAGAAAAAACTAGTTTATGCTAGTAGTCCTATACTTATGGATAGGGTAGATTTTTCCTCATTAAAAGGCACATTGTATGCGATAACTGACAACAAATTTATTATCTCGCGTTCCAAAAATTAAGGAAAATCGAATTAAAAATAAATACTGAACTTCATACGTCTAAATAGTATAACGCACACTCGAAAGCAGCTGAGAAAAGCTATGAACGACATTCGTGAAGTCCATTTTGATGTCATATGTACGAAGGCATCATCAACATAAGACCCGGTATTACTGCGTAGCGGTCCGAATTGCCACATCTCATATCAGTACATCAAGTAAAAAGACAATGAAGTGGACGATAACGAAAAGTAAATTCCGTTAGAAGAAATACAAAGTAAGAAAGCAGAGGAGGGAAAATGAGAAAATGGTGAGATACAGTATTCCATTAAAGTGAGGATAGTGTGTATACATCTGCGCCAACGACTTCGATTCTCAGCCATATCACCCAGAGTCTCCAACCACTGGTTCCTCTTGTACCGCGGATCTCAACTAAGAAGGTAATGAATGCCTACGCAAAAGACAACGAATAAGGATGAAACTAGGGCGGTCACTACCAGAACCATGAGTTAAATAACTACACAGGTAAATATATCAGCATAAATATCGCTCAGTTTCGTGTCAAGAAAATATTCACCATAAAACTCCATCTCAGAGAAAATAAGAGTGCAGAGATTAGGAAGTAAAATGGGTAATTGTTCGAGGGTGAGGACGATGATAGAAGAAAAACGCAACGTTTTCTCGCCATTATCGCTCAGTTTAAACATTCAGCCTTTTCTTCTTCTTCTATTCACCGTTCTCCTTTGTGCCCGGTGACCAGCCGGATAATATACTCTCTCCTACAGAGAAAAGCATAATTTTGCAAACACGACATAAACATGAGCCGTTTCTCAAAACAATATTAAGTCCATAAAAATGTTTAACAGACAGTGCAAAGCTTCGGAGTGTCTGGGTGACCTTAAACTGTCCATACTACCGACCAACCAATAAATATTACTTTAGGAATTTTTACGCACCTTCTATCGCACGGAGTCGCAGAAAACAGGAAGGAAGAGACAACAATTCATATGGTTTATCAATTAGTTGTCCACCCAAACCCCAACCTATGGCCCTGACTAACTTCGTAAACATTAATACTTAATTTAAAGTGGTTCGGACTGCATATTCCGAGGCATGAAACAGCATAGAACCGATGAAAACCTACCATCTCCAGGACGAACCTTTTTCTGTGTTATGTCTTTGTTCTTGGTAAGCAAACTTCAGCATCCGTATTCCAGCTTTGCAAACCCAATTTCTATATCCTTGCGGTTAATCTTAATTCTACTTTTGTCTGTTTATTGGGAATGTCACACAGTGAGACAGCATCACTTACTGGATAACGTTTCGGACATAATTTACCGTCCACATTCATATCATGTGACATGATGTGAATATGGATAATAAATTGTCCAGAACGTTATACAGTAAATGATACTGCCTCAGTGATATTTCTAATAAACAGACAAATGGAATTACAATTGTAATTAATCTACCACAGTGCCCGGCTAATCTTAACTCTTTGAACTCTGACTGTGAACTTTTTGGACCCCATTTCTGAGTACTAATATCTAAATCCCATATGAAATTGCATTATTTCCAGCATAAAACGAACTGCAAGCATTTATTAAACCCACTTGCTTTGATAAATTATCGAGGGGAATCCTTATCCTAACGAGTGGTATCAGTCCCTTCGATGAGAACATTCAAGGAGAAATAAGATCTTTACAAAGGATCCTATTGCAAAAAATAACACACGCCAAATTTGGCATGTGTAGGACAGTTAACTGGCCTTCTATTCTTATTACTGGAAAATATGTCTTCAGCGATAATGGCTTTTTATTCTACACAAACCTTTATATTACTTTTACATCACCAGCTAGTTTTGCACTTTGAGTGTAAGTATACAAAATATTACAAGTCTGTGTGAATTAGAGTAACGCACATATTGGAAAACACCGCTACATGTGTCCAGACCTCAAACTTGGTGCTGTAAAAATAGCGAACGATAGTTCTTTGGGTTTTCACTCCATATCACTTCAAAACGTTTCTCGCTTTGAATAGCTACCGACTCTGTCTGATTTTCGATAAGTCAGAAAGGATACAAATAATCATTCCAGTTTAGTCCGTTTATTAGAAATATCATACAGTGAAACAGTATCATTTGCTAGATAACGTTTCGGAAGCAATTTGTTGTCCATGTCATACTGCCCATCATTTCGCTAACAGCGCCTAATACGGATACGGAAAATAGATTATGTCGAAACGTTATCCGGTAAACTATACTGTTTCACTGCATGACATTTCCAACAAACAGACTAAATTGGAATAGCAATATATCACAGTGTCCGGGTTTTACTCCTATATTAATCTAGATGGTAGTCTGTTAGATTTCAGAATTCTTTTCTTGGAGCTGTTACCTAATGTCTGTAAGACGACAGCAGGCTTTTCGAATAAATCCCAATTGCGGCACAAAACTCTCGGTAGGTTTCTAGCCTCCTATCGAAAGCGACAGGAACAGGAGGCTATGACAAGTTCAGAGGGAGAACTCTGCAGTTTACGGATCCAAGCCTCCAAGAATTTATCAAGAATCTCTATTGGTTGCCTCTCTGGCTCTTCTGCCACAGGATTACTTTCATACTGGGCTTTTTACATTGGCTTAGGAATGATCCGTTATGACGCGGAATACCATGAGTGTTATGATGCAGCACGATCTTACCACTTCCGATCCACCTGTATGGCACCTATTGCAGACCACACTGTTATGAATAGGCACGAAGTCCAACCCACTTGAATTCGAAAAGAAATCCAAAAACTGTTTGATTGCAAGGTGACAAAGACCGGGACCCCAAGTGCCTTCTCAGCGTCCAAGTGACAGATATTTGTTTCCCCAGTGTTTACTAGCTGAAGCTAGACCTGTTTTTATCTACTACCACCTTCCTACACCTTTTCTCGAAAGGGAGTACTTTTCAAAATGTCCAACCCAGGATTCTGGGTACGTCCATCTTGGAGACAAGTATCCGTTGGCCCTTATATTTCCCCCCGAATATTCAAATCACCGGACTGTAATCGTGAATGAGAATTAGATGTCCGTGATGGTCATTTATGATGGCAACAAACAGCATAGGACCAAGAGTGGAACCCTTAGGCACTCAACTGGGAGTTGGGAACCGACTTCATAGGAAGGACCCGACTGTAATAGGTCTCATTGAATCGTTGCGGTGGTCTCCAAACGAAATGAGCGAATTCAGTTTGCACCCATGAGCTGATGTTCCTTAGATAGCACACCACGATTAACCCTGTCGACTACATCATAGAATTTGAGAAGTTCTATGTAAGTGTTGCTTTTATCTGCCCATCAAATAAAGTTTAGTTACTCCAGGCTATGAATAAGCTGGTTTAACATGACTTTTGAGGAGAAATCCATATTGAGTTTCAATTAATATTGAACCTCTTGGTAAATAATCATGAAATCAATCAATTACTGCGCTTGTCATCGCACTCGAAACCGGGAAGACCAATGAGACTGCTACTGTCGTCAGAAGCTATGAATTTATTTCCACCCTTAGGCACTGGGATGATTGCGTTGGTAGCAACCTCGTATTGTCCAATCAGCCGCTTCATCTAGGTCACTTCAGGTACAAAGGATATGTACAGAAACGTCTGAAAAGTACCACATGGAATAGAAAATGCGAACCCCAACTATACCATAGGAATGCAACATGATAAATTCAATTGTCCGTAAGGAAAAATAAATATTGACACGAGAAGGGACAATGTGTGCGTGTCCAGCAACGTATTCCTTGCCATATTAAGTGAGTCTGAGACCCCACTACAGAACAGTGAAAAGATCATTCTAACTTACCGGTAAAAAGTGGCAATCCTGATAACAATCGCTTTGTTCCAGACAACAATAACTTTTGGTGCGGTTTGGCTTTCTCTGTGTGATATTCCAACAAATTTGCTTCGTGTACAATATTTTCAAACTTAACAACCACAGCAGTCAAATAATGTTGATAATAACCGCATGGTTGGCAGTAATAGACGGTAACCAGCAGTCTTTGGGTCATCATCTAGTTTGCATGTTTTTGCACATGAGTCCGATACAAAAGCACACGTGAGTTTGGGGGTGGAAGTTCGCCCATCCAGTACGAAAATTCGCCGTTTCAACCACGTGTTCCTGTAATAACAACATGGCGCATTGCTGTGTGTTTAAAGGCCAACTGCCGTCCACCGTGATATTTCCTCTTAGTCGTTGACCGTGCAACGATAGGTTGAAGACATTTTAAGAGTACGCGAGAGTATGTTCCACTGTCTTTTAACACTAATGGTTATAAGAAGCAAGAGAGAGAAATTTGGTGGAACATATTCAATGAGGTGTTATGGCAGCCCGAACGTTGGGCAGGTCATCGGGAAGACCGTAGGTGAACATAGACCGAGAATCTGAATCTCTTATGTCAAACTATCGGGTGCAAAAGACAGGAAATTAGTAAGAGTGAACAGACATCAGGCGCGTACAAGTATATGGTGAAAAGCGTATGAATCGGCCCAAACATTTGGTCAAATAAATAGCCTGAACAGAAGAAAATATGGATGGCTTCTGGGTTTCAGTTGATTCATTAGGCTTATCAAAATGGATGACGTTTTGGATACAGCCATGTCAAGGTAACTCCATAACTTCAAGACACGGTTTATATAAATTTCATTCCCAACACCTTGTGGCTTAAGAGGTACTGTATATCCAATAATGGAATTACATTCCACCACAGTACCCAAAGTTGCCACTCATATTAAATCGAGATTCGTTGCATGCAGCGTCCCAGTCAGTGAAGTCTTCAACATGATGGCGCAAATCCTTTAGGCTATACTTAGACCCCTCGTTGGCTGCGCGTGACAACAGCGTAACATTGTTGTTGATAGACATCTCCGGGGATTGCTGATGAGCGGAGGTTGTGCTGACCCGATATTGAAAGTCTGATTTGTTAATTTGGTCGATTGGGACGAACTTGCCACCTGAGACCCTGTAGGAGCGTGTTTCACTCTGACAAATGTGTGAGCACAGTTGGTCAACTGAGGTGTGATGCATGACGGCTGTCATGGCAACTTTCTAAGCAACACTTCTAACATGATCAGATGTTTTCCTAGTAGTCGTATGTAGATAGCCACACCACACGAAACTTGACAGTCGGTGGTGGGAAGGTATTCCAGATGATCGTGGCATGACTTCGTAGATTGGCCCTGAAGTACAGTATCCAATGTGGTCGGAATTTTGGACAGGATCAGTGCACTTCCAATAGGGCAGTTTTGCCCGTTAAAGTATCGGACATGTTACCCCTTGGATGACATGCTGTCGTGCAGTGCATTGAATCGAGAGAGACCATTCCTCTCCTCAACAGGAGCCGTGGGTGTGGCCGATGAGGAGTTTGACGATTTAACTGCGCCGCCTTGTGACAGTTCTTGAACAATTAGGTCAAGACGTGGCCAGTATTGAATCGGCACTCTGCATTGAATCTGCTTAAGGCCTGGGCGTTTCGGCATATCAATTTCATGCTGGAGAATATCGGTGCATCCTAATGAATGGCCGTTGTCTAACACATCTGCAAATTCCTTAAGTAGAGTGGAGATGCAGCGTCGAAACGGTCCGACTAAGTGAGGGTAAAGCCGTGTCTGTGGAAGAATGTCAGTCAATAACATGAATTCCACTGGATTCCTTTCAATCCCGCTGGATAGAGTACGTTCATTTCGTTGGACCCATTCGTCACATGTAACCTCTGAATCTTAGTGACACACTTCTTCATCAGAAGACAGCGGATACCCAGGATGAAATCCCACGCGACCGAGCGTCAAATCGCTAAGTTGTGCTCGTCAAATAAGCTGCCCAGTTGAGCGAGTAGAACTGTAGCAACTTCCACAGTGAGAACACTTCTATTGGCTGCCACTTGTTTCCGCAACCCGAAAACTAGCTGAGACACCTGGATCAAGGAAAGTAGACATGTACATGTCATTCATCATTCCGCCGGGAGTTTAGGGCTTTTTTACGAGGTACTGACAGGTGTGGAGGCCAGCTACCCACTCTTTGTAGTAGCATAATACTTGCGAATGCTAGACCAAGACAAGGTACGACAGGGTGACCAGGTGGCATTGTGTATCTCATTTGTGGGGTGCATGAGATGTATGAGATTCTCCGACTTGCTGCCAGTATGTGCTGAACGACTAGCATGTTTTGGCTCAACGATGTAGAGGGTGGCATGAAAACCTTGTCGCGTGTCGTTTGTTTCACAAGCCGTCTAGACTCTGAAAGTCAGACACAAGTTTTAACACCGTTGAAATCACGAGTTTCTGAACAAGAGTAATTGTCAGCCTTGTGTCAACTTCCTCCCTGTAAATTAGTGGGGAAACTAAGTTGATACCAGCCCAAAGTATTGACCCAAATAATTCGCCGCTGGTTGAACCCTTTCAGTTGTTTTGATACACTTTGTCCCACCTGGTTCTTCGACTTGTTATTGAGTGTCATGAAAATGATAAGGCGGTTGAAACGGTATCGGTCAAACCTTGATCTCCACATTTCATTGACTTCCAGCCCAGTCTCCGCTGCACATGGAAAAACTATCAGAGACTTGCATTAAAGAGATAAAATTCTGCATTCATAAAACTGAACTTAAAATAACCATGGAAACTTGAAGCTTATTTCGAAGACTGCCGCAACCAGTATGTAGAATTACGATACATCGATGATAAACAGAGGCGAAGTAACTCAGTGTCAATAATAAAGGCGGAAGTGGGGAAATCCCGCTGGCTTACGCGCACTAGCTTGTTGTTTATGTTTAAAAGTGTCTCCGAACCTTCTTTGCCGACCTGAAAGTGCTTATCACGGCGAGAAGTACAGTGGTGTGCCTACATTTTTAAGTGGGTTTTCCATATGCTCAACAATTGGTAGATATACTA